GCATTTTTTTAGAAATATATGAAGACTCCTTTTTGATGATTGGAAGAGCAAGTTCCAGGCTGGGTGGGTGATGTTAACATAGAGAACTGCTTCCTGTTTTTTTTTTTTTATTTTTTTTTTTTTTTTTTTGTGGTACCGGGGATTGAACTCACGACATGGTGCTTGCCAAGCAGGTGCTTATGCCACTGAGCTATATCCCCAGCCCCCAACATTCAGCACTTTTGAAAAATGTAACCCATGTTAAACCTAAGCCTCTATCATACTACTAAGTTAAAATACTGGTCCTTGTCAGCTATAAGAAGAGGAATTCATAAAGTCCCATTTGGCCCTGTGGTTTTTGTAATTTTCTTTACATTTTGTTTTCCTCAGGAACCTACCTTTGTGTCAGTTTAACTCAGCTTAGAACTTAGTCTGCATATTATCTGAATAGAAAAGTCGTTGACCCATTGTTATCCATTGCCACAGTCCTGCCTTTGCCAGAGTAGTAACTGTAATGCTACCCTTGGGCTTTTGTTGACCCAGAAGCCAGGTTTTAAAAGGGAGCTTAGAGCTGGGTGTGGTGGCACACATCTGGAATCCTAGCACTGGGGAGGCTGAGGCAGGAGGATCATTCACTGTGAGTTTGAGGCCAGCCTGTGCTACACAGTGAGACCCTGTCTCAAAACAAAACAAATGAATGGAATTGAATTTAGAAGAATGATGCTGTCAAAACTGGCTTTCCTGGGCCGAGGATTTAGCTCAGTGGTGCAGTGCCTGCCTGGTAAGTGTGAGGTCCTAAGTTCAGTTCCCAGTACAACAACAAAAACTGGCTTTCTCTTGCTCCGTGTTTTGTACCCTCCTCCACCTGTAGGTCTCAATTTAAGTATGCCCTCCCCTGAGAAACCCTTCTCACATGCATGGTAGCCTTTCTTTCATCTGACAGATAGTACTTGATACTTAGCAGGAGTCAGTAATATTTCTGAATTAATAAGTGATAGTCCACAAGGTCGTGAGTTCAAGTCCCAGTACCAAAAAAAAAAAAAAAAAAAAAAAAAAAAAAATAGAATCCAGTGATTTTCTGAAATTCAAAAACAGTGGCTCAAACAATTTCCATGCCATTTCCCATCCCTTCTTTTTTTTGTTTTTTTTGTTTTTTTTGTTTTTCTCCGGTACCAGGAACCGAACTCACGACCTTGCACTTGCCAGGCAGGAGCTTTGCCGCTGAGCTAAATCCCCAGCCCCTCCCATCCCTTCTTCAAAGATCATAGCCAGTTATTCGTGGGCATCAGAAACATGAGGACCTTTTCAAAACTGAAGATGCCTGTGAATCTTGGTATTTTCCTTCTTGTTTCTTCCTTGAGCCTCCATAGCTGCTTTATATTTTTTAGCCCACACCAGGTGCATTATAGAAGTGAAATGTTTTGTTTTTAGCATGCCACCATGAAGGCACACAGTCCCCTGTGATCTCAAGCTAAGCTGGATCAGGCCTGGTTAATACTTGGAAGTGAAAAATCTAATGGCTAAAGCTACTGGGTAGTAGTCAGAATGATGCCTAGTGACACTCAAATTCTAAATCTCTCTACCTGCTGACTTTTTTTGTAATCCATACCCTGTTTCTCCCAAGCAGTAGAAGAGCCCTAGGGCAATGGGACCATGAAATCCAGGTGGCTGCTGTAACCACTGCATTCTGAATGGTGGATCTTCACTGGCAGCCTTTTAGGTTCCTCAGGGGTAACTGATGTGATTCTTATACCATTTTTCAGTTGCCCCATAAGAAACCCCTGAGACAGGGCTGCAGTCATCTGGTAGCCAGGTTAGGGCTCCGTGGAGTATAAGACGACCTTCTTTCTACTGTATGTAGAGACAGGCAACTGGCTGAGCCTTGTGTTTCTACCCTGTGCTTCTTCATGTGGCAACTGGATTCAAAAGTAGCAAAGAGTAAAACAGAACTCATGCCAACACTTTGCAAGCTTTTGCTTGTGTTGTGTTGTGTTTGCTAATGCCTCACCAGCAAAGGCAAGCTGTATGGCCCGCCTAGCATCCCTATGTCCTTGGTACAGGGATGCATGATTTCTTGAGGCCATTACTGAAGCATTTGTCCATAGGTCTCACGTTTGTTACCAGTGGAAAAGGCCGCCATTGTTTCTGCAAATGATGAAAAATTTTAATTTGTGATTGTTATTTTCAAAGAGAAATCACCAGGCTTGCTGCCGTCATTCCTGACAGTCATACCTGAAATGGAAACATAAAAACCACATCAGGTTTTGCATTCTTGTGCTGTGGTATCACGAAGCTGGAGAGTTATGTCGGAAGTCTGGTCCTCAAAACAGCCTCTTGCCCATTGTGACCTTTGAGCAGGTGCTCACCTGCCAGCCTGGTCGAGCTGTGTGTGTGTCATGCAGGTCCTGGAGTGGGCTCAGGAGAAGCGGAAGCTGAGTGTGTTACACATCCATGGGGTCTACACCAACCCTAGTGGCATTGTCCTTCATCCAGCCGGATATCAGAACGTGCTCAGGAACACGGAAGTCATGGTGCGTAGTGCTGATCTTGCTGGGTTTGGGAACTCCTTCCTGGATGCCTCTGTGCCATAGGTATTGAGGGAGTATTTCCTTTTCATTAATCAAAAGCAGGAAGGTCCTTCTTCCTGCCTGTGCCTCTTAGTTTGTGAGTACGCATGGCATCCTGGGAGATACCGAACTTCCCTTCAGGGATCAGGCCTGGGTTTCATGTGTACCTGGTAAGCAGCCAGTGGGCATTGGCATCATCTTCTCACACAGAGAACTCATCAGTGCTGTTTTTTGTTTGATTTGTTAATTCTGTGCCAAAAGTAAATACATGCTGCTGGAGCATAGGTTTTAAAGAGAATTGTGTAAGTGGCAGTGGCTTAGATTGAATTAACTACACTTATTTACACTTGCTGCTCAGTGGAAAACATGGGGGGGAATGAGTTGGGTGATAAAATCAAGGGGTTTTTTTCCTTTGTGTTTGTTGACCTTTTGAGGTACAAGTATTAGAAATATTCTAGCAAGGTGTGGTGGTGCACACCTGTAGTACCAGCACCTAGGAGGCCAAGGAAGAAGGATTGCCAAGAGTTTGAGGCCAAGTTGGGTACATAGTGAGTTGATGGCCAACCTAAACTATGTAATAAGACCCTTAAACAATAAGTATAATAAAAATATCCACGTGTACATGTTTCAACCAGAGATACTTCCTGGCAGGTGATAATGTGGAGAAATTCACTGGCCCTCAACTCCACCCAGCTGAACTCCAGTGAGCTGAGTGTTGTCAAGATTGTGTCACATAGAATAATGTCACATTTGCAGAGTATGGCCAAAGGAAGACCAAGAAATCTGATATTTCTCACAGCATAAGACTTACTCTTTCCAGACATCTGCTTATTCATTCCCTGACAGTGAATGTTCCCTTCAATAAAATAATTTCTACTTTTTTAAAATTTGTGTGTATGTATGTATGTACACACAACATTTACATATAGACATGTCCTAAGTAATCAGACTTTCTTTGAGCACATCTTGTGATGGAATTATCTTCTCTGATGATCTGTGGTTCAGTTTGTAAGGCAAATAAAAGCAATAGGGCCCAGAAAATGAAGATGATATTGAAGACCCACTCCTTGCCTAATGATCTCTGGGCACATACATCTAAAAAACTGGACTACTAGACCACTAGAGCAATGCCAATCCTGTGGAACAGATTACAGAGGATGCAGAAGAATGCATGAAAAGTAGATACATTTTATCTAGGTAAAGAGTAATAAACAGATCAGCGTGCGTGGAATCATCAGCCTATGTGGAGGGTATTGCCCTCTTCAACCTTGGGTAATTGGTCTTCATAATTTGCAAAATACGACAGTTACATAACTCGTGACTTTTTTTGTTTCAGACATGTCTTGTGTCTGTGCGTGATCATGTTGTTTCTTTTCCCTCAAGAGAGAGATTCAGAAGCTCTATGAAAACAAGTCGTTTCTCTTCCTGGGCTGTGGCTGGACTGTGGACGACACCACTTTCCAGGCACTCTTCCTGGAGGCCGTCAAGCATAAATCTGACTTAGAACATTTCATGCTGGTTCGGAGAGGAGATGTAGACGAGTTCAAAAAGCTTCGAGAAAACATGCTGGACAAGGGGATTAAGGTTATCTCCTATGGAAGTGACTATGCTGATCTTCCAGAATATTTCAGGCGACTGACCTGTGAAATCTCCACGAGGGGTAAATTAGGTGAGATGCATTTGGTGACAAAGGGATGGGACAGCGGAGAGTCCCAGTCCTTCAGCACCTGTGTGTTTGTGATGGGTAAAATTATTGCTAGGACGAGGGAGGGAGTGCTTGGCCAGATTGTGAAGGAGAGTCATAGTCACAGACGAAGGCAGGCCGAAGGCCTACTCCAGCAGTGCAGTATGGATGCGGGAGGAATGAGGTATGGATGTTCATCCTCACTGGTTAACAGAGAGATACAATTCAAAGTAAGATTTTAAAACACTATCATTCAGTTTTGGCTAAGGCTGTGAGGCGAGAAATTTTTTCATGGACGGTCAGTAGAAATGTAAAATTAGTACACTGCTTTTATGAAGATACATTTAACATGTTTCTAAAAAGCTTTGACCCAGAAATCCCAGCAGTACAATTTATCATAGAATAAATTTCTCTTAAGGAAATTGTTGAGTCAGGCATGGTAGCACACACCTGTAATCACAGGACTCGGGAGGCTGAGGCAGGATTGCATGAGTTCAGAGCCAGCCTGAACTGTGTATAAAAACAAAAACTTGGCATCTAAGGTGACCTGATCATTAGGAGTTGTGTCAAAATAACTATTTATGTGTCAGTGGATTAATGAATTACAAGGGATTTTTCTTTTCCCCCTGGAGTTTTCTGAAGTGCTGTCTGAGTTTCACATTATTAATTCCTTTGATGACAACTGAAAATCCTTAATTTTTACAAACATAGAATGCCTTAATGACATAACTTTGAGGAGAGCCACTTAGTAGGAAGCATACCTAGCTATGAACAGAATTTGTGGCATTCTACAACATACATGATTTTTGTTATTAATGAGATTAAATACAAACAGCTGGGCATAGCGGCACACTCCTATAATCCTAGCACTTGGGAGGCCGAGGCAGGAGGATTGTCACAAGTTTGAGGCCAGCATGGACTAATGAGTTCAAAGCCAGCCTGAACTACATAGTGAGACCCTGCCTCAAAAAAATCAAAACAGCCAGGCATGGTGGTGCACATGTAATCCCAGCACTTGGGAGGCTGAGGCAGGAGGATTGTTACGAGTTCAGGACCCTGTCTCAAAAAAAAAAACAGAAATGAAAAAAAGTAAATGCAACAGAGAAGCAGTTTGTAAACTGGGGATTGAAGCCACAGCCTTTGTTCTGAGCTACAGACCAGCATTTTTTTTTTGAAACAGGGTCTCACTACTGAGAATGAAATAAAAGTCTTCACAAATGAAATAAAACACCCTGAGTTTTATTTCTGCTTACCAGGTACACATGAAACCCAGGCCTGATCCCTGAAGGGAAGTTCGGTATCTCCCAGTTTTAAACACCTTTTATTTCACCCTGAGTTCAGGGTGCCCTTGAACTCACTGTAACCCAGGCTGGCCTTGAACTTGGGTGATCCTTCTGCCTTAGCCTCCCAAGGATCAGGAGTACAGACATGTGCCACCATGCCTGGCCTCTAGTTTTCTGTTGTGAGAAATTTCGTAATGAGTGACAGCATCTCTAGTATTTACTTTGCCAGTAATTTCCTTCAGATGAGTTTTTGGTATAATAGGTCAGAGCCAGAGATGTAGCTCAGCAGCGCAGCGCCTGTTTAGCAAGCATGAGGCCCTGTTTGATTCCTGGTACCAAAAAAGAAAATAGAAAAAATAATAATAGGTCAAAGGACAAGAACATTTTAATGGTTGATAAATATTGCTGAATTGCTAAGAAGGGAATACCAATTTGTTTTAGTGCCATGTCTGTTTATATTTTAACTAAATTGATTATATTTTCTTCCATGTACTTAGTTACTTTTTCCTATACTATTATCTATCCAAATATTGTTCAGTAGAATTTTCCATGATAATAATACCCTATAATCTTCACTGTCCTATCAGAGCCACAAACCACATATAGGTATCAAGCCCTTGAAATGTAGCCAGAGAGCAGAATTGTTAATGAAATTTGAAGCTAGCCATAGGTGGCTGGTTGTCACATATTGGACAGCATAACCTATTTTCTATTGATGGTATGTCTGCTGTTTTTCACTCTTCTATTTGGTTGAATTTGCTGACTCATATGCCCCCCACCCTTGATCAAATAGAATTTAACTAAACTTGGTAAAATACTACTTAAGGATGGCAGACACTTTGCCTATGATAAAGTGTTTCCTTCACAAGTGAAGTAGGTACACTAAGGAACTTCAGTGTTTCCGTTATTTAATAAGGGTCTGAATACTGAGTTTATTCTCCTACCTCATTTTGTCTCATTTCTAGATGCCATCCTTCTTAGGCATACCACATCCCCTTAACTCCCTGTAGATGGTGTTCTTGCTAATGTCTGACAGTGACTAATGCACTTTGTGTTTAGCAGGGATGGTGAGAGGCCAGCTAAATGGCTCATCTGCAGCACATGGTGAAATAAGAGGTATACTATTCCCTATTCTTTATCAATCTGTCAGCAGAAAGTTTTCTAAAACTTTGTAAAACTTGTGGAGAATAATGATTACTCCCACCTTGTTAAGGATTCTATCTTTTCCTATCATCTATTACAAGATTTCTAGAATCTCCCATCTTGATTTCTGAAGGCGTGAGACTGACTTGCAGCTTTAGATGTATAAACATTTGTGAAGACTTTTATTTCATTCTCTGTCTTTTCTCTCTCCACAGGCTATAGTACATGAACGAGCTAAAGAAATCGCCACCATTAGACCAAGCTGTAAGGCCCTACTGTGGACAGTGTTTAACAAGCAAACCTAAGAGAACCCAACACAGCTCCAGAAGTACCAGTACCTAGAGGTTCAAGTTCTGGGGTAGGCTAGGGGAAAACGTTCCAGCTTTTCCTTCATGCCAAGTGGCTCTTGATCCTCTGCTTCCTGAGCAGCTGAAGAATACCTAAGTGGCAGTGGAATCCGAGTGCGGCCCCCCAGCCCCAGGCTGACGCACTTGTGTCCACAGCAGACTAGTGTGTGACCTCCGCTGATGGTGGCTGTGGCTCTGCATGAAGGACTTGGGGAGCTCGAAGTCATGAGTCAGTGGGGCTCTCGTTGCAGTTTTGTACTCTATACTTGGTTTTTCAATTAAGCTTAATGGCTTTTTTAAAACATGACTTGAAGCTCTAGTTTTCTAGCTCTTTTACATTGTACAGTATTTTACATAACTGAGTTGTATTAAAAGGCTTGTTCATTTACTTGTCAGGGCCCTGGCTCTACTTTGAGAGTCACCATAGGAAACAACTTGCATCAAGGTGCAACAAAAACTAATTTTTCTAATGCCACTTAAATTTTAAAAGTTCTGTTCTTTAATGTTAGGGTAATCTCATCTGATTACTCAGAGCATTGCCTATTCCTGCTTTGTTTTCCTCCTTACCATATATCAGCCCTAAAACTAGTTAGTGTGATTTGAGATTTTAGTTCTGAATCCCACATAAAATAACTTCAAGACCAAAGAGTTTATTTATGAAATTTATTTTCTCATATAAATTATGTATTTCTCTGGGCAGACAGCCTTCACCTTATTGCACTAACAGCACATCTGTAATACCAAGCTACAGGACAGGTCTTAACAAGAGGTTTGTGTTCGTCAATGTAGCACTTGTCTACCAGGCACTGTAGAAGAGAGGGTGAGGAAAAGCCAGGGCCTGCTCAAGGGGAAAAGGGTAGGGTGGGAAGAAGGCAATGGGTTCCCTCCTGAAAACTGGTTTTCTCCCAGGAAGGGGCACATGCAAAGCTTACATCTGGATTCTGGGAGGCGAAGGAGCTGAAGTCTGAGAAGCCCAATGCAACACTGCAGCTTGGCTCCCTGTCTGAGGGAAGCAGGGACTCACCCTGCACTCATTTTTAACAAATCACTCTGGCCTAGCTGATGCTCTGGGGAAACCATGGGGTGGGGTTCATCACCAGATTTAGAATTAGCAGCAATTAATAGGCTGTACACTGCCACAGTGAGGTGGGTATCATCCTGGCACCTGGGACCTGAAAGGTATATATATCCTAAGGACAGGTGCCACTCAGGGCCCAGGGCTGGCCTAGCAGAGTCTCTTAACTTAGTGGAGCCGGCTGGGATTGCAAACTGCTCCTTAGGCTCAGATACCTCTAGGCCCACCTTAATTGTCAAAACTCTGGTGTTGGGTCTTCCAACCATTGGTCAAAGCTGTAATGAGACTGAGTCTGGAGGCAGAGTGAAGGGGATGCCTGAGTAGGAGGGAAGCTCATGGGGAGAAGGCAGGGCGGTAGGCAGTGATTGTAACATGATTAGGCCCTCCTTGCAGGTGGAGGCTGGGCTGAGCAGGGGCGGGGTTTGGAGGAGCTACACAACCTGGAGCTCCCCTTGCTCTGCCTTTGTACTACACTGAAGACAAATTGCTCACATACTCTAAAGCACATTCTTGATATAGGGACAGGGGCATTTTGGGGAAGTGGCAATTTGGTATTAGGCGAGAGACACGTTAAGCCTTCATGAGGGCAGCCACCACAGCCTTGGCGTTGAGACTGCGCAGATCACAGTAGGTCTGGCCAGTGCCCACAAAGACGATGGGTTTGCTTGTGATGTACGTCATAGAAATAGCAGCTCCCACCTGGAGTAGAAAAGGGATAGCAGTCAACTCAGTCCGTCTTCTCACTCACACTCTCGGTAACAGAAAGCTTCAGAGCCTGCAGATCCTGAAAGCCTCAGCTCCCTCCAGGTTCTCTGTCCCATGTCATCCACATTTACCTTGTCATCGATGGTGTCAAATTTGGTTAGGACGATTCCATCAATGAGCCGAGGTGTCTGAGCCATAGAATGGTCAGCCAAGGCTCTGTTGAACTTGACCTAGAAAGAAAAAGGTGATGTAAGAACCACCCAATTTGCCAGTTTTGCATTACAAATGAAACTAGGCCTCAGCCCTCACCAGCTGATCCACGGCTTCATTGCCTACTAAGGCCTCCCCCACAAACAGCACCAAGTCAGGTGTATTGACAGTAATGAGTTTGGCCAGGGCAGTCATCAAGGGGGCATTATCTTGCATGCGGCCAGCCGTGTCCACCAGCACCACATCAAAGCCTTGGTTACGTGCTAGAGAGAGAGACAGAGTCGTCAACTCAAACACTCAGCTGTAACACACACACATACTGACTGCCAGCCTCCTAACAAGCTGTCACCTAGCACTATGGAAAACTTACTGTTTACTTAGGCTCTGGGTTTGGTCCCACGGTGATATGGGGGGAACCTGTCCTGTTCTGAACCACTACCAAAACCATTCTGGGAAAGGATGACAACAGGATAAAGGTGACCAAATTCAGGTTCCTTTGGCCTGGGATACTAGCTTTGCCTATAACTATACACACTACCCGAAAGCAGAGCCCAGCAAGTAACCCTGACTTTTCTCTGTTGCTAAGCAGTTAAGTTTATAGTAGTGTGAGCCTGATTATCTGAGAATTCTAAGGGAACCCAAAGAGGAAAAGGGGCCCCTGCACTTCTTGTGCACTGTACCAAAGGCAATGGCTTCCATGGCGATGCCAGCAGCATCCTTGCCATAGCCCTTCTCAAACAGCTGCACCATCGTGCGGCCACCATGCTTCTCAGGCGGGTGTAGGGTACTCAGCCGCCGGGTGTGTGTACGAAGCTGCTCCACAGCCCCAGCCCGGAAAGTATCACAGGCAGCAATCAGGACACTGAAGCCGTTCTCTAACAGCCAGAAGGAAATCTGTAACAGTAAAGAAAACTGTCACCTTGAACTGGGTTCCAAGATGGAGAATAAAGTGCAGTAGTGACTGTGACAGGCTAGGGAACTGCACCAACCTTGGCAAGATTAGTAGACTTCCCCACTCCGTTAACACCGCAGAAGGTGACAACATAAGGGCGCTGGCGACGCTGCGCATCCATGATATCCCGGAGCATGTCCACACGACGCTGGGGCTGCAGAATCTGCACCAAGGACTCCTGCAGCGCTTGCTTGACTGTGGAAGTCACCGCTGCAAAAGGGAGGTGCAAAAAGCACAGCTATGAAACCTAAAAGATGTACTCAAATATCCAGCTTGCTGGGCATGGCAGTGCATGCCTGAAATCCCAGCTTCTGGGGAGGCAGAGGCAAGAGGATGCTGAGTGGAGGTCCAATGTAGTAATTCAGAAAACAAAGACACTTTTTTCAGCTAAGGGGTCTAGGACCATGTTAGGATCTTGTCCCAGGAATCAAGGCCATGCTGTTGAAGCAGTTTTTAAGCATTCAGTCCAGTAACTCTTGAGTAAGTTCTATAATACAGGCTTACAAGTTAAAGAATTTGCTGTAAGTCATACACCCAGGGAGGGCGAACACTTTGTATAAGCACACTCAGACTTATAGATACTTACTACTAAATGTCCCCATCACCTTCCCTTCCAGCTTGTTGGCAACAGATTCACAAAGCTGGAGAGCAATGTCTGCAGCCACATTCTTAGCTGAGAAGAGAGAGATAATGGTGTGAGAATTCTTTGTCAACAATGATTAATCCCATAGTTCAGCTCAGAAACTGGGTTCTGCTCCCAACCATCCCGGTCTCAGAACTTACCGATGAGATGATCACGCATCTTGTCCAGCACAGACTCCATGTCTTCACGACTCAAACTCTTGGAACCCACAAGGCCCTTCAGCATCCCAAACATGCCACCAAGAGTACCCTTGGTAGCACTGTGGGTACAGGATCACAAACACGCATAAGCCACAGGCAGGAGTTGGGGCCTGTCACTCCTGCACCTGTACCTACCACCCACCTGAAATCCTACCTAGGTTTGGTGGAGTTTGGCGCAGCCCCTTCATCATCTGAGCTGCTGCAATCCAGATCCTGAAGCTGCCCCCCAGGCCCAGTCCCTCGAATCTGGCAGATGTAGAGAAGATGAGGTCAGAACACAAACTCAGAGGGCAAAAAGCCCAGGGTTTACCCTGTCCACAGTGGAGACAGGGAGGTTCCAAATGTAATTCACCCCTTTGCTCAAATGAATCCTGGTATTGCCCTCTTGGTCTCTACTTCTTTCCAAATTTCTAATTAGTAGACCTTCACTCTGCCTCTCACCAAGTTGATATCCTCCGACAGAGCAGCCTCTGGGGTTCCGTTGGTGGTGGGAGTACTGTAATCCAAGACTTCCTTGTTAGCACAGCCACCTAGTTCCCACACTCGGGGTGCTTTTTTGCCCTTCTCCTTTGGAGCATCTGACTTCATGGACTTGCTGTAAAGGGTCACAGACAAAGGGTTGTGGTGAAGGAAAACAATGAGCTAGGAACAGCTTGCTGGCATCCAGTATAGCCAGGTTGCAGTCTTTAGAAGTAATGGACAAACGCTAACCTGGATTTGTCCATACCCCTCCCGTGCTTCTGAATGAACTCCTCTCTCTTCCTGCGTATCAGCTCTTCTTTGGAAAGTTCTCCGTTCTCAGGCCCCACAGGGAGACCTGACTTTTCTGCTGGGGGTGCTTTGCTGGTAGCCAAAGGGCCATCAGAACCTGTTATGAGAAACTTCACTGAAGAGGACCCAATCCCCACCAACTAGACAATGGCTAGAAGTCTTCCAGATCCTTAAGAGGAAACAGCCCATACACCTTGGGGATGAAGCCCTAGGGACAATGGTGAAGGTGGTGAGCATATGAGGGAGGCAAGCAATGGCAAAAGGAAGCAACACCTCAGTCCTGAGCACCACAGTAACACCTTTCATGCCCCAGCATAGCCAAGCGGCTCAAGCACACCTTCTTTTTTGGCCCCCTTTTTTTTGCTGTTCTTTGCTTTTTCCTTGGGCTTTTCGCCTCGTGTTTCAATCATGGACCTCACAGGTTTTTTGGCCTTTTCAGAATCTTCAAATTTCTTCATTGTAGTGGGAGCACGGATTTTACTGCTCTCCTCTGCTTCACTGAAGGGAAAAGAGAATGGTTTACCTCTCTACCCCATGCTGGAGAAAAATATAAAAATCCAGAGAAAGGACCCTCATCCCAAAAGGACATGACAGAAATGGGCAGCAAAGCTGGAGTGATTTTGAACACCCAATTTACTGTCCTTGAACCACCTTCAAGAAGGGAGCTCATCAAGTCATGGAAACTGACTTTGGAAAAGGGAGGCCTCTCACCGAAGGAGCCGAAGGAAGTCATTTTGGAAATCAAAAGTGCCATTCAATAGACTTAAAGCACTCTGTTGTTGGATCTCAGTGCGGTATTTGTCCCGAAACAGCCGGTGCACGTCATCTATCAATTTGTCTACGTATGTCAGTGTTAAGATCTTCTGGAAACCAACCTGTTTAGGGAAGGAAACAGCCAACAGATCTGTTTACATGCTAGCCCAGAATGGAGGCACGCCAACTGAACCTAGGTCTCCAGAGATAGGATCAGCCACCTGGCAGTTTTCCCTGTCCTGAGAGGCAGCCAAGCTCTCTCTGCCTGGTCCAAAAGTTGCCTTTCCTCCCCTCCACCTACCCAGTTTTCTTAGTTACTTCAGCACTTAGCTGGGTGCAATTAATCAGGGTTTTTTCTTAATGACTGTTAAGGACTATGTTGAAAATGTAACCACTGTCCCCTCAAAATACCCACCACTTACCACAAACACCAGCTCAAACTGGTTGTCCAGTTTGTACTTGAGTGTGAGGGCCTCATGAGTGAAGGAGTTGTTACCTCCCCGTTCCTGGAAAAAAGATTGTGTCTCAGGCTTTGAGCTATCCCACAAAAACCAGACTTGGACCCCTGAATTACCTTTGGGAAATACTAAACAACCTTCCAAAGTGAAATCTGTCCCCAGGACAAGAAGATGTTGGGGCATTTCTCTGTGACACCGCACCAGAAGGAAAAAGAGATACCAAGTTGGGGGTGAGGAAAAAGACTGCCAAGGCAAGTCAACACACGTGGGAGCCAGAAGGGAAGTCATCGTATATAAACAATCCGGTCCACTAGCAGTTGTGCACCATTTAGTTTCTTAAAAGGTGTTTTCTCATCCATAATCTCTCCAGGCTTTGAAATACCAGAAAATCAAGCTGCTGAGGGTAAGTGGAGACAAGAGAGGGAAACACCAAGAGGCGCAGGATTCTGGCTACAGTCCCCCATTACTGGGGGGTCGGGGGGCGTCGCAAAGTTGCGACGAGGACAAAGCAAAGTAGTGTCCGGATGACCAGTGAGTAGCCAGTCTGTTGTGGGCTGGAGGATGGGAGAGAGGCGCAGAATCATTTTTCGAAGGAGAACTATGGACGGGGTCAGGGAGAGAAGAGCCCGGAGTTCGGATTCCGCGGGGGAGATACCTGCAGCAGCACGGAACGAATCAACGCGTTAACGGGCCCGGTGCAAGAGTCGCTCACGCCCTGGAAGCACCAGAGCACAAGGCCGCCCTTGGAGAAAATGGTGAAGAAGTCGAGCATGGCGGCAGCGAGAGAGGAGCTGGGACCGGCGCCGGGAACTCGGGCCGCGATCGCCGCCGCTTCCTGCTGCGCCAAGCGCTGGACACGTCACACCAGCGGCCCCGGAAACCAGCTCAGCAGCACTTCCGCTGGGGGCGCCGGGTTCTCTTCCAATCGCTTCCCGAGGGCGCGCAGGACTGACGTAGACTAAGAGTGGGCCAATGAGGGGTAGGCAGACCTTGGGCGGGGCTCCCGGCGAGGTCACGAGGCGGGACGGCTGCCTATAGCGCGGAGAGGTGTGGCCTGGAGGGACCGCTGGCCAATGGTCGCGCTCTCTTGAACTCGTGGCTGTGGCGCTGGGGATACCCTGGTAATAGGAGTATGGGGTAGGCAGCTCTCAGACGGGCGCGGCGCAAGAGACATGTTTCGGAGGGTGCTGCGAACGGGCCTGGGCCAGAGCCTCTTGATCCGGGGACTAGGCACGCGCAGTGGAAACTCCAGTCTGGGTAAAGCCGAGGGTATCGTGGTTCTCATGTGACCTTAGGGGCCCACGCTGGCCGGACTGTGGGCAGACTGGGGAAAGTTTGCCTGCCAAAGCTCTTAGAGCCCCTGACAGGTGTATGGATACCGAGGCGGCGGTTCCGAAGGGACACATCACACTTAAAAGGAGGTTTGCAGGTGGTGATCGGTATCCACGGATGTCTAAGATAAGGTGCCTGTTAGAGGGAGCTGCAGGGTAGTGTGCCAGCGCCTCTTGTCCTGTGGGTCTGGGATACCCTAGTAGAGATGACCGTGCACTTGAATGTTGTTTTGTTTTGTTTTGTTCTTTTGGTACCGAGAATCGAACTCAGGACCTTGAGTTTGCCGGTTAGGCGCTGTGCCGCTGAGCTATATCGGTGGTGACTTGACTACCTTGAGTCTGACGCTTAAGTGCAAAAGAAGTTTGTTCAGAAGATAATTATATGGCAGTCACTTAGCCTAGGGAGAGAGTGGAAAGTGCTAATTTTAGGAAGTTGAATACTGCAGTGCAGGGCATAATGCATGACCGGGCAGCTTGACTGTACGTGGACCATCTAGCAAAGCTGTGACAGTACTGCTGGGTGAGAGTTGACTTTATGAGAAAGGATGACGGTGAGGACTTCCAACTCAAGTGTTTACTCAGCTCACCTTTTGCTGTGCCCACCTTCTGAACCCCACCACCCGGCAAAGAGACATAGGCCTTCTAAACATAACCTCATCCCACAGGCTGGGATGGAAATGTGTCGGAGATTAAGAAGAAGATCCGCTCGCTCATGCCTGGAGAGCCCCACAACTTCCTGTATGACACCAAGCACCTGCCACCCGAACACTCCGATGTGGTGATCGTGGGGGGTGGCGTGGTTGGCCTGTCCGTAGCCTATTGGCTGAAGAAGCTGGAGAAGAGACGAGATGCCATTCGGGTGCTGGTGGTGGAACGAGACCAGACGGTGAGGTCTGGGGTAGGGTAGGATCGTGAGGGGGGCAAGGAGGACTCCAGGGGCAAGGGAAGAGGAGGGGAAGACCTCAGTCCTCGGAGGTCCAGAGGACAGCGACTGTGCTTTGGACTTTAGACCTTGTTGAGACATAGTCTCGGTTTCTTCTTCCCTCAAACCAGGATCCTTGACAATAAGATTTTTGCTTTTGAAAGCAGATTCCACATTGTTGGATATTTCCAGATCACAAAGGTCTGGCCAAAAGACCTTGCATTTTGGGTTATTAATTAATGTAAACAGCTGTCTCAACTTTCTTTTAGATTGCATTGTTTTTGAGATTTTGTTTTGTGAATGAGAAAAGGAGAGTCTTGCTATGTAGCCTAAGTATGTATCACCATGCCTGGCCACATTCTGTTACTTTTGAGGTTTCTGCAGTTTAGTTTCTATTTACCATTCACTGTCTAGCCATAAGTCTTGGTACTTGGTCATATCTCATTTTCTTTTTTTTGGTTTTTCTCCGGTACCGGGAACCGAACTCACGACCTTGCGCTTGCCAGACAGGCACTTTGCCGCTGAGCTAAATCCCCAGCCCCCATATCTCATTTTCTAAGTAGTAATCACGTGTTAATTTCTTACTTTTTACCATTAGTGTTTTCTTTCATTGTGTCCAGTCTTTTTTTTGAGACAGGATTTTGATACGCAGTTCAGGTTGGCCTTAAACTCCCTTTGTAGCCCAGGCTGTCGTTCAGCTCACAGCAGTCCTCCTGCCTCAGCCATAGAGTGCTAGGATTATAGGCATATGCCACCAAGCCCAGCATATCCAGCCCTTTGTAGATGACTGACCCACACTGCTAGGCTTGCTGCCAATGGTGATTTTAACAATGTGTCTTTGGGCTGCTGGGGGAATTGCCTGTGGGTTTCTCCACCCCAACTGCTCTTAGGTTATAAGCTTGCAAAGAGGTTCCCCTTTAACTTCAGGTGTAGAACTCACAGCTCCCACTGCAGCATTCCATTGTGACAGCATATTGGTGTACCTTAGCTTTTCTTGTCTCTCCACAGTACTCAAGGGCCTCCACAGGACTTTCCGTGGGTGGGATTCGTCAGCAGTTCTCCGTGCCTCAGAATGTTCAGCTCTCCCTCTTTTCAATCGACTTTCTACGGAACATCAATGTATGTGCATTGTGATTGGGGGATTGGGACAGTGACACTCAGGGAGAGAAGCAGCCCAGCCTTTGAGAGGAGCCAGGGACTGGGAGTAGTTTAAGCAGCTAGGAGTTAGGACCCTCCCTTCCATTCCCAGAATTGGTGTCTAGAAGGAGACATTCTTCTGGCTTGGGATGCTGGGCCCTAGGAGCTGTGGGTGATTTGGCCAGGAAAGCTTTCCCCTGATTTTCGAAGGCAGCCTCTTTGAGTAGCTTTTCTTCATACACAGGAGCACTTGGCTGTGGTCGATGCCCCTCCCTTGGACCTCCAGTTCAACCCCTCAGGTTACCTGTTGCTCGCTTCAGAAGAAGGTGCTGCCATCTTGGAAAGCAATGTGAAAATGCAGAGGTGGGTGCTCATCCCCTCCCTGAGCTCTTTCTCAGCCTCATGTTTTCAGGGTACTCCAGCAACACTGCAGGAAGAGTGAGGCTAGAGTCGATGAGACAGGCAGCTGCTCTAGGAGCTCAGGCTGTTGGGAAAGACAGGCACAAAACTTTCTGTGCCAAGGGCTCTAGTAGATGAGGACAGAACGCTGCTGTGGCAGACCCTGCGTTTGCAGTCATGAGAACCACCAGGCCTAATAAACTCAACATTCAAGCAGTAGTCCGGAGGGGCTGGGGATTTAGCTCAGCGGCACAGCGCCTGCCTGGCAAGCGCAAGGTCGCGAATTCAATTCCCGCTACCGGAAAAAAAACAGGGGGAAAAAAAAAAAAAGGAGTAGTCCGGGAATATGAGAAGTATTTGGCTTTTTTTTTTTTTTTTTCAGCCCTGGGGATTAAATCCCAGGTCTTCACACTGAACTACATCGGCAGCCCCTTTTTATTTTTTATTTTGAGATGGGGCCTTGCTGAGTTGCCCAGGCAGGACTTGAACTTGAGATCCTCCAGCTGTAGCCTTGCAAGTGCTGGGATTATAAGTGTGCATTACTGCACCTGGCTAGGAATCTGTGTTTTCAAAAGGACCCTTAGTCAAGACCAGCAAGCTTTTTTGTCAAGAACAAAATTTTAGGTTTTGCAAGTCATTCAGGCTCAGTCGCAGCCAGTCAGCTCCACTGTTGTAGCACAAAAACAGCCATAGAAAACATGTAATTGATTAGGCTTGGCTTATTTGCCAAAAACAGGCAGCAGGTTGAGTGTGGCCTTAAGTCTCAAAACGAGTTAAAGTGGACATCTTTGCAGTACATTGTGGCTGGAGGCTTTAACAAACCTTTTCTAAGTTTCACTAGTGTAATATCCTAAATGCTTTACTGCTTTATGGCATTTAACTTTCACAATATCCCCTTTGAGCTGAGCCTGATGGTGTATGCCTGTAATCTCAGCACTTGAGAGGCTGAGGCAGGAGGATCTCCGCAAATTGAGGCGAGCTTGAACTACATAGCCGGTCCCTGTCTCAAAAAAGAAAAAGAAAATTTCCCCATTTTACATATTGGGAAATTCTGCCTGAATGACTAAGGCACGAGGATCCTGGTAAATGGTGGCCTAAGATTTAATTCCAGTTAGGCAGTCTATTTTATGAGAGTGTTTTTTTTGTTTTGTTTTGTTTTGTTTTTTTCTAGCACCTGCCTTTGTCCTAGGCAGTGAAGAGGAGACCGCTTCTGTCAGGTGTAGAAGGAACCCATCTCCCTAGCAAGTCATAAAGGAGCTGGAACAGGAAGGGGAGAAGGAGTTTAGTGTGTTAAACAGAGGTGAAGGTGTAGGGAAAGATAGAGGCTCAGATAGCAAAGAACCTCAGCTGAGTGCCTGGGTCTCTCTCACTCAGCAGGGAGGGAAAATTGAGGAGTTCCAGGCAGAGAAGCTACATAAACGAGCCGGACTCCCCATTTGTGGCATGGGGGTGGGGGAGTCCACGCTCCTGTCCTCCACACACTCATCCTGTCTAATGCATGCACGCAGACCCACACATTTCTCTCAGGCAGGAAGGGGCCAAAATTTGTCTGATGTCTCCTGAGCAGCTTCAGAAGAAGTTTCCCTGGATAAACACAGAGGGAGTGGCCCTGGCATCTTACGGTGAGTGTGCCCCCATGTTGGCAGTCTGGGCAGACCACAGCCATGCTGCAGGAAGGCCACTTGCCTCCTGGTGACGGAGCGTGCCCAGCCACACTGCTTCTCTGTCCTTCGCAGCATTGGACTGCCTGGTCCACCTGGTCCAGATGACCCTTCCCCTAGCTCCCAAGCCCAGAGAAATGTTGGGGCGGCAGGCAGTACGTTGGGAGAGGCAGGCCCTGGTCCCACTGCCTGCTTTCTCCTTCTCTCATTCCAGGGCTGGAGAACGAAGGTTGGTTTGACCCCTGGTCTCTGCTTCAGGGGCTTCGGCGAAAGGTTCAGTCAATGGGAGTCTTCCTCTGCCAGGGAGAGGTGACACGTGAGTGCAGGGACCATGCTCTGTCCTCTAGCAACCAGGCCAAGGCCTTGGCGGGCACCCAGCTTCTCACTCATGTACTAAGCAAGGGCTGGTGAGGGCAAGTCCTGGGCAGCTTGACTG